TGAGAGGAGGGGAAACCAGAACCGGGGGAGGGGGGGGTGAGGAGGAGGAGGGCGGAGCTTCAAAGGGTTCAGAGTCTGCTGTGATTGGAGGGCGGGGGCTGTCCCGTCAGTCACAAGTTGGTCTTTGTAGTAGCCGAGCTTACGAAGCGAACATCTCTCTGCGAGCTGCATCACCTCCCAGAATATCTGCTCCGCTCGGAGACACACGGGGGCGAGACAGGAGGGGTCGCAGGACGCACGCTAACTCACACACATCAAAATACTGTATTTAAGCTTAACATCAAAGTGTGTGTGTGTGTGTGTGTGTTGTGTGTGTGTGTGTGTGTGTCTCACCATCCTGCTGTTTGACCAGCCCTTGGTGGATGTAGCGGATGTAGGTGAAGAAATTACACACTGCTGTGATCTGAGAAGAAGACGGAGACGGACAAATACTGAAAACCAGTCGACACGTTGAGCTCCAGACTGACATCTGCAGGCGTTAAATACACATTACACTGATCCCTGTTGAATCCGGGATTCTCCTGGACGCGACGTACAAGTAGAAGTTTGTGTTTCGGAAAATAAACTGATGTTTTTTTTTATTTAAGACGTCTGCTTCCACAAACTGAGCTTCTATTTGTTTTAGTTTCCTCGCTGAGGATGTTGTGTCGAGACTGTCGTACGTAACTGACCTTACTGTGGAGTTATCATTTAGTGAATATCTCTTTTTATACTAGCTCTCATTGTTAGTGGCGGAGTCCGCCGTTACCACACTGAATTCAACTTGTCTTCGCATACACAAATGATTTACAGCATGTTATCCAGCTGGATGAAGTCACTTTCCTGTCGCTGATTTCACATATTCCGACAAAACAAGACATTTCAGACGGAGGCTGGAATTGTTTTTGACTGATTTTGTTTGGCCGCACTGTAAACGGGAACAACAGCTGCTCTTCTGTTACATTTCCGACAAAGTAGCAGCTCCAAAGAGAGTCTGTATTTAACCGCATGTGCCAAATCTGAAAGGATTACAACTTTAACGTTCAATAAAAATGTCTGACAGCCTACAGCAAGTCCTGACAACGAAACTGTTCATTGTGGATGTAAAGTAACAATTAAGGACAAATATCTTGTGATTTTAATTTAAATGTGGCACAAAAATGCTGCGAAAGTCACTTTTGAAGTCAGTAAAATGTCACATATTGAAGCTTTTTATTAGTTTCAGACAGTTTTACAAATTCCTTGCAGGTTTGACGTCACAGGAAAAGATAGATTAGATGTTAGACTGTAAAAGTTAAATAATATTCACTGAGTGTGTGTGTGTGTGTGTGTGTGTGTGTGTGTGTGCGTGTACTCACTCTATATCTACAGTAGGGAGACACGTAGTAATAGTTGGACGAATCTCCAAACTTGATTCTGTGCTTACAGGTTTTGGTCTGACCGCTCAGGGCACATTTTCTGAGAGAGACACAGACAGACGGATATTTATGGGTTTATGTTCGGTTTCAACATGTTTGTACACAAAAAAATAATAAAACTAACTATAAAAGGACTAATTCTAAGACTCGAGGAAGCAAGGAAGGAGTGAAGGAAGGAAGGAAGGAAGGAGAGAGGGATAAACATTTATCAAGATTCGTCTCATCAGGATCGCTTTGATAAACCTGGACAGGAAGGAAGGACTGAAGGAAGGGTTATTGTGAGTCAGCGGGGGAGTTTGGGGGAGTCAGGCGGGGTCGAGGAGCAACTGAGGAGAGATTAAAACAATGCTGATGGGAGAGAGCGAGAGCGAGAGAGAGAGAGACAGAGAGAGACAGAGTCAGACTTACGTGACGAGCTCAGCCCTTCGCCCACTAGAGGAGGAAAATTGAGGGAAGATGGAGAGAGATGATGATGAAAGAGTGAAAGCTTGATGAGGAGAGAAAGAGTGTACGAGTGTGTGCGCGGTCTCACTTTGGTCCGCCGCACTCCACTGCCGAGGCTTTGACCACGGGCAGCGGCTGGAAACCGACCGGCTCCACGCTGAGCGTGTTCTGCTCCACGGCCTCCAAGATGGCTGAACCCAGCTGAGGGACGAGAGGGACAATGAAGGACGGTGAATGACAGAGGACGGTCACTTCAGGTACAGGGCAGCAGCTTCTGCTTGCTGTAATCATTCCTCCTGTTTACACCGAACATAAGAGCCCTTCCTGATGTTTTCAGTGGAAGTGATGCAGGAGAAACAATCCACAGTTCTTCTGTGTTTTAAAGTTTATCTGCAGTCAGTGAGGCTCCAACAGTCGGAGTTACACAATCACATCAGATCTGTTTAGTACAAAATGTCCTCTGTGTGTGTCGAAAGACTTCGTATAGCTCAGAATTAGAGACATTAGAGGTTAAATTAAAGGTAAAAGCTAGAATGAAGTGTGTTTTAAACCGAGTTAACGAGTCTTCCTCTAGAGTTCAGAAGGTGTTCGGTTGTATCTTCCTGTTTGATCATGAAAACAGGTGTGTGTATATCGGGATTACGAGACGGGACGGGGCTACAGATCCACTGAACACTGCGTCCGAGCTTTAACTCTCTGTACCTCGCTCTTGTTGAAGGTGAGGCACGGGTAGATGTCCTCGCGGTAAACTCTCTCCAGGAAGCAGCAGCCCCGGTCCAACGTCGGCTCCTCCTTCCACGCCTTGAACTCACCGAACAGCTGACTGTCCACCTGCGTGTCGGACAGCGGCGGTTAGCGTGCAGCGTTACAGACACACACACACACAGAATATAACCAGTATCAGTAAACATACCTCTCTGCACTCCCGTACGATTGGCTGCGTGGCCGACGGGTCGGGCTGCGACCCCAGGACGGCGGACGAGGTGCTCTTGTTCCTGCTGTGGCCCTTCCTGAAGGGAGTCTTCACGCTTCCTGCAGGGGGGAGCTCGCCCAGCGGGGAGGTGGGCGAGGAGAGCACTAGTGTCTTCAGGGCCTGGACCTCCGCCTGGAGAACATCAATCTGAAGAGGAGGAGGCGACGGAATGAGTCAGGAAGGTGGAAACACCAACATGTAGGGATACGTGAACCGATATGACAGAGGAAAGTAGCAGATCCACTGACCTAAAGACGACTATCACTGGAATACTGTGATACTAGGGTTAAATTGGCAGTTGACGATGTTTACAGTAAAACATCGCGACGGACGATGAAATCGCCGTGGGGGGGGTAAGCACTTTTTATTTCACTAACCCACCCCGCTCTGTCATAGTAGACAATGGTATGATCACCGCAACAGGCACAGGCGCAGCTACCAGTTCCTCTTTAGGACCCTGGGGAGTGAGAGTCGTGCCTTATGGTGTGTTCAATTTACACTGAAAGTCGGAAC